TTCATGGCGATCTCCCAATACTTTTTTTTTTTAATGAATTAAATATATACTTTGCGTCAGGTTGTGAATAAACGATACAGATTAAAAGTCTAAGAGGATCGAAAAGTCATAAATATATTTTAACTTATACTAATTTTTTTTTTTTTTTTTTTTTTTTAACTTATACTAATAAAACTAAAATAAAGACTGTTCAAAAATAAGATCAGGATCACGTAGCTAGACGTTCTCAAATTCTACATATTTCAACTTTCTAGCATTATGCAAGAAAGTCCAAATAACGTGTTGTTAGTTTATGAGACCGTCAATAACTCGTAATAAAAAAATTTAATGAATAATTTTCTAAAGATCTTTTGTGGATATCGGTTGAAGATCTCAACAAAAAAAAAAAAAAAAAAAAAAAAAAAAAAAAAAAAAAAAAAACCAAATTTACACGTATATTTTCCAATTGAATCTAGGATAAAATATTTTAGTATATGTCACTTCCACCTAAGTAGCTTTTCTCAGTTCTCACTGTGACCAATAACTAGGGATGTGCATGAACCGGGTTGGTTCGGGTTTTATCAAAACCAAACCAAACCGACTATATCGGTTTGGATTGGTTCGATTTTGTCCGATTTTTCGGGTTTTTCGGGTTTTTTGTTACTTAAATATTATTTTAATCTTACTTTGTTAAATTTTTGATAAGTAAATATATGTTTAGTAAAAATATAAAAAATTGACGAATATATTTTCTATTAAAATATTCTTATGTTTCTTAGTAACACATAATAGTTATTTTTTTAGTCATCTGACAATAATGTTTCGTTGATGCACACTTTCAAGGTTAACCTAATTTAGTAATTAAACATAAAAATCAAAATGATACCTAAATAATAATGATTACTTCACATCCGAAAAGATATAACAATTTAATAGATCTTAACATATGATATGAATATGGAAGAACAAAGAGATTGACGCATTTCAGTAATACTTGATGGGAAAGTGATAAATACAATCCATTATTTAAGGTTAATAAATATGGAGCACTTCATATACTATTAAATATTATATCCCGCAAGAGAATCCCAAATATTTCTAGACATTTTTTAAAGAAAATTCTATATAAAATCTTAAAAGTATATAAAAATTATATATTTATATGTCGGTTTGGTTCGGTTATTTTACTCAATACCAAACCAAATCAAACCAAACCTAGTCGGGTTTTTTAATCGGTTTGATTTGACTTTTCGGTTTGGTGCGGTTTTCCGGTTTGGTTTGTACACCCCTACCAATAACCACGGGGGTGCTCCTTTGAGACATTGAGCAGCACACTATGAACTTTTTAATTAAAATTCAACAAAAATTGTTCCTTGTAAAATAGATTGCCGATCTGCTACATAACATGAGTCAATATCTATAAAAGAAGATAACAAGGATGTAAAATAGTCTACAAATCTAGCAAAGAGCTATAATGAATTAAAAATATAAACGTATAATAAAGAAGTTAAATGTCCAAGTGAGCAGCCAAATATGGATAATTAATAACCTTCACTAATCAGTTAAATGCCAAATAAATTATGTATTCCACTTGTATATTCATATTGAGCAGTAGTAAAGCCTTGCCAATACTTACGAATCATAACTGAATAATGACTCAACTTCAGAAATTTGCACAAGTAATAAATAAGAATGAGAGATAACGTAAGATTATTATCATTAAAAATAAATGTCTAAAGCTTGTATATACAATAAATGTGCTCAATTTTATCTTTGACATTCATTATAATGTATAATTACTTTTTTATTCAACAATGTTAAAGGAGTATTGTTAATTGAAGGGTAAAATGGTCGATTAGCTTTTGAAGGATATTTTACTTTACCCAAAAGTCTTAGTAGTGCTTGATATTTTTGGGGGCCTAAAATAAGGGCTTTACCTGCCTTAATATAATAATATAATTGTATGTAAGTTGTATACAAGTTATATGTGAACTTCTTTTCCCTAATTGTATTTAAATCGTAAAAAAAAATTTAGTTAATCTATATTATTATAAAAGCATGAATAAAATGTTGGATTACAAAAATAACCTTTTAATATTAAGTATAATAACTCACAATAAAAGGACATAATCGGAATTCTAGACATTAGCCTTGTAATCCTATTAGTTTTAGGACAAAATACTAGACGTTAGAATCCTATTCCTACATGATTACCTTTAGAAATTAGATTTTATTCTTTTTATTTTTTAAAACGATATTTTTTCAATGTTGGTTACTACTGAAATTCATATATAAAGAATGAAATTTACACTACGCAATGTGAGCACACTTCGTTTATGAAAAGTCCAAGAGTCTCCTTTACAGGACTTTTTATAAATGTCCAAAATTCACCTTCATATATTTAAATATTATTAAATAATTAAATAAGGTACATTTCCATTATTTAGAAGGTTCTTTCGTTAATTTAACATTTAACTTTTGGGGTTTTCACTTTTATAATGGCTCATGATGGTTTAAATATTTATTTATTTGAAGGAATTATAAAATTTAATTAAGGAGAGAAATTTTATATATAATAATAAAACAATCATCTAAAGCATAATAACTCACAATAAAAGGACATAATCGGAATCCTACACATTAGCCTTGTAATCCTATTAGTTTTAGGACATAATATATACTACACGTTAAGAATCCTACATGATTACCTTTAGAAATCCCATTAGTATAATTATGTTCGGGCATAGATATAAAATACTACATATTAGCATGTAAATCTAATACCTTTAGGAACATGTTAGATTTTTTATTGATAAAATTATTTTTGGGATATGGACATATTTTTAGCCACGTAATCCTATTACTTTTATGATATACTTCTTTAAAAAATTATACTACTAATTTAATTTAAAAACGTATTATATTGTCCAAATTTATTTAGAAACGGGAGAGCCTATATTATTATAAAAGCACGAATATAATATTGACAGACCAAAATTGCGCTAAAATATTAAAGAAGAACTCATAGGGAAAAGACATAGTTGTAATAACTTATTTTTGGGTTATAATAACTTCTATGTTAATATTTTTAATATTTAAGATTTTAAGATTAATACAATCTTGTCTATTGAATTCTTATTAAAAATATGTATGAAGGTTTAATAAGATCAATTTCATAAGAATCCTCCATATTAGTAATACATTACCAGTCTATAAAATTAAATACAAAAAAATTAGAATAAATGCTAAACGGACTGTATAAAGTGTTAAAATTGAGAGAAAAATTCCTACGGTAATATATCATTATATTATATTTGTACTGCTTTCCTATCAAATAATATTTTTTATTATTACTTTTTTTTTGTAATATAGAAAAATATACACAATTATTAAAGAACAACTAAGAATCTTTTTAGAAAATAAATGTGTGAGAGAAGAAAGAAAAAGGTTGGTAAGAGACAATACCACTAATGATTTTGAAACAAAAAGATCAAAAAGTGGAATGTCAGATCGATCTTCTTATTCTTAATAAAATTTATGGTGGATAAAATTATAATTACGGTTAAATATTCAAACATCAGATGAAATAATATTAAGAATCTAAATCAATAGAAAATAAATTATATATAATGTTAATACCAATTATTCAAATCTTTCAGTAAGAACAGATCCAACATTCAGTGACTTCTTGCTTCGTGTCGGAAACGAAGAAGGGCATCCAATAAAAGATGATTTGGTTCTTCTAGAACACTTGGTTATCAACCCCAATGGTAATAGTAGTGCATTTAATAAGGAAAATATTTTCATCACTAGATTAAAACGCAATTTATGAGGATTACATAATACAAATTAAAGAGCTATCTTAGCTAGCAGAAATGAATTTATTGATCAACTAAATAAAATGTTGATTGCTAAGTTTTATACTAAAAATAAAATATTTTTTGGTTTTGGCTCATCAAAAGATGATACCAACAATTACTACCAAGAAAAATACTTAAATACTTCAATACAAAATGACCTTCTACCGTACATTTTTATTGTCACGTTCATTATTTCTTACGTATATTAGTGTGACCATATATATAATAGACTAAGTTGAAATTGATCTTTTATTGCATATAGGTTGATTTTGAAAAAAAAAAATATGCCCCTCATGCCTGAAAACTTAGATTCCTTGAATAGCTTATGTACGTACGGTATATAGAAGTTTTGACGATAACGTCATATATGTAGAACTTATGATACTGGTCAATTGCTTCTAAGTATGTGTTTATCCCTGAAGTCAACTTTCGTCTTCCGAAACTAAAGAATATCTTTCTAAATTTGAGTGAAAATAATTTTCAGTATGTTTGTGTTTGTAGTTATAATAAATAAACCACAAGGATAAACATCCTAAATATTGGGCTATATTTACTATAATATATTTTCTTATGTGAATAACTATATGTTGCACTTTCAAAAGAGATATCAATGTCGACAACAAGAGTTTTGGTTATGGCAGAATAACCAAAGTATTATAAGGAAACATATACAAAAAACACTGTCTATAAAGAATTGTTCGGTAAGATACCATTACATTCGATACCTTTAAACTACAATACATAATTATCTACTTAACATGACTAAAATTGATCATTTATGTAAGTTTTGATGATGTCCCTTCATTTTGAATTCACGAATTATGCTAATGTACTAATATTTTTCGGTATTTAGATGATTGTTGTAGTAATATATATAAAAATGTTCTCATTAATTAAATTTTATTATTCCTTCATCTAAATAAATATTTAAACCATTATGTGCCATTATTAACGTGCAACGGACGTTTATAGATACTAGTTTTTGAAAACTATAAAACCTAGAGAAAACGGGTAAATAAGTTCCCATGTGATATGTATATGAAAAACCCCCAAAAAGGAAAATATTGAAATAAGCGGGGGCAAATATATTTTACCAATTTTCTTCGTTTTTCTAATCAAAGAAAAACTTCAGTCGGTTCTCCCATCATTCAGATTCTAAAATTAGAGCATCAAAGCGCAATAGATTTATTTATTTATTCATGTCCTTGCATTGTTGTCCCACACCTCAAATTGATTCATTTTTCCCTGCCATTAACAGTTGCTAAAGAACAGAAAAAATACTGTAAAGTGCACATAATAAAGACATCTAAATTCTCAACTGAGAAAGAAGAATAGCAGGATTGAAAATAGTGTCTCTTTAACAAAAATCATTCTGCCTCAAATATTTGCTCTCGTGCCTGCTATATTTGACTCTTCCTCCTTTATGTGCTCTCGCTAAGCAGCTCAAGCTGTTGCTGCTTTAAGCCTAGAACTGACTGCTTCCCACGACACGAGCTTCTCCATAAAGATGGATATGTAGTCAGGCCGCCGGTTCTACAAGAAAAAGATGGCAGTGCTACCGTTAAGAGAGTTCAAACATATGTCTTGAGGAAACGTGAAACATCAATCAAAGGAAATATTTAAGTAGTTTCATCAGCTAGGCTTACCTGAAAGTCCAGATAGTAGGCATGCTGCAATGTCAAACACAAAAGTAAAAGAATAAGATATCACTTCCTAAATCATTTCAACCACCCACCTTCCAACGGGAGAAAGAAAAAGAGAGGGAAAAAAAACCCAAATTCAAATAGATTTAAGACAAGTGAGCGTGTGCTGCTTACCTCCCAAACGTCTATGGTGAGGAGCGGCTGCAACCAAAACCACACTTGTGAGATTTCCACTATAATATTAACTACTAGGTACGTAAGATAAAATCCCCATGAACGAAAGAAACAGAGAAGCACACGTTATACTCACCGTGTAACCCAAAACAAGAGGATTTTCAGCGTTAGGAGTTTTCACCAAAGCAAGCTTTTTCTCCTCAGGTTTGTCTACAAAGTAAGTAACAAATGCATCACTTTTCAGCTATTTGGCTCATTTTAAACAAAAGGGTTACACAGACACAGATTGCAGATCAAAGGCAAAGAATTTCTCACATGCGAGCCAGGCCCAACCAGAGCCAAATTGTGTTGCCGCAGCTGCCTTAAATTCTTTAACAAATGCATCATAGGAACCAAAGTCTCTGTTGATTAGTTCTAATAATTCACCAGATGGCTCTCCTCCTCCGTTGGGCTTCATTGATTCCCAGAAAAACTGATGATTCCAGGCCTGTAATGCGAAAGAAAATATAATAGGACTCAGCAAGTCAGCGCTTGACATGTAAAAATAGCCAAAAGTGCATAAACCATTGTTATAGTCCTGTGCATAACAAGTCAGTCTATTGCATAAACCAACAGACTGAGTTGTTATAGTCAATGCCTTACTTTGAGAGCTTTAAACTGTGAATTACAAACAAATACAGCAATCAAATCTTAAGTTTCTGTCAAAGACTTGGAGCATTTAGAAATGTAATGTTAGACTCTTGTAAAGAAACTTCTTTTATGGCTATAACAAAAAGATTCAGAAATTCATTGATAAGGTAGTTGATTGTATATAACCAAAACCTCTTTACTGAGCAAGTAAATTAACACTTGGGAAGCCTCTCAAGTGGTTAAACAAAAAAGGAGGGGAAGGGGAGAAGTGTAACTTTACCTGAGCAGCATTGTTGAATGCTGGGAGGGGAGCACCTTTATTATATGTAACAAGTATTATGTCTTCTAGTGTCTTTCCATCTAGTTCTGTTCCGTCTATTTGCTTATTTAAGTTGTCGACATAAGCCCTGTGATGCTTCCCCCAGTGGAATTCAAATGTTCTACTACTCATATGAGGCTCCAAAGCATCCTATGTCATATTCAGAGGTCGAATATATTAGTGTATGAAGAAGACAGACCGAACTAACAGAGAAGCGGCAGAAGAGGGAGAAACAAAGAGGGGGAGGGGGAGTTTTTACAATATGAACAAATTGTAATATTTGCATCCTTCTACAAATCATAATTAGCGATAACATGCTTGTTTAATAAACTGCTCCAAAAAGTGAAAATGAATCCTAAGAGGCCTTAATATGCATGTCTGAGTCAAATACGTCAAATGAATCAAGATTTGAGAGCAATATTACTTTGAAATGACTTTCTGAAATATCAATATGCATTAAGTGATATAAATATGATATTCATCTTAGAATTATGATATGAAATGGAACTTTTTCACACTTCCCAGACTAAAACTGAAAATATATGATAGGAAAGTTTCATGCTGGAGAGACCAACCTGCCCAAAATGAGGAGTACTAAATTGGCATCATTTAGGCCACAACCAACACAACCAAGACCATTTTCCTTTGAGGCAGGGGCGAAGGTACATAGCTTAAGGTGGTCAACTGACCGTCCCTCGTCGAAAACTTACACTATATATATAGGTAAAATATTAGATTTTAATGGTATATAACATATATTTAATACCTTTTTGTCAGAGATTTTTTACTTATTTCAAATTTGAACACCCTAAATAAATTTTTTGGCTTCGCCACTGCTTTGAGGGATCTTAAATCCCAAAAGTTGAGATCTAGTATCGTCTAATTGGATTATATGGATTTAGGAATAGAGTCCATCATTAAAAGGTTAGATGCTCCTAATTCCTGAATCTTTACAAGACGTTTGGAAACGAATCTTCTAACAAAATCCCAGTCGCTATGCTTCTAATAGAAAATTTGGAACACATAATACAACAATCATAACAACGCCTCAATCTCAAAATAGTTGCGGCATAACAAGTCAAGAAAAGAAAGGTGTCTGAACTGAAGGAGGATAAGATTGAAAAATTACCATGGGATAAGGAGGAGGCTGGAGTTCAAATTTAGCTGTTATTGTGCCAGAACCAGCTTTTCTTGCAAACTGTTTCCTCAACCAAACAAATTAAAATCCACTCAATTTAGGAGATAAAAATAACACAGTGATAGCTTTGCTGTACATAGCAAAAGCATTTCATCGTAAACTTTATTAGTCAAAGAAAATACAATTATTATTGGAATATATACGCCAGAAATACCTTTTGGCTTCTCAATTGTAGGCTCTGATGAGATGACCCATGAAATCCTGCATCATTGATAAATAAAACATCAAACTACTGCATTTAAGGGTGAGAAAAGATAGAAAAAAGGAATAAAAAGTTGACCTAGGCGGGGAAGAAAAGCAGAGGTCAGTGAATTAGCAGAAGCAGTAGTAGCGGCCATCGTCGTCAGTTCCGACTTCTGACTTTGTGTAAAAGATTACTGAAAGTTAGAAATAAGCAAAGTATGGACTTTCTCTAGATTTTGCCTTTGGCTGCTTTTGTGCAATTTCATGTGGTCCGATAAGTAAATTATGTGGTTCCACATTCAATTGTGTAGTACACTCTAGTCTTGTGTAGTACACACTTCCACCAACCCTATAGGACAAAATTCCTTTTTAAACAAACAAATTCTGTCACATAATGAGCTGCATCTAAGTTAAAATATGTTGATAATATGAATACTTTTTCACTTGAAAATATTTCTTATTTCACTATATAATTGTTTACCCTAGAATCCGGATAACAATTGAATTTATATGGGGTTTCAAGGATCCGTGAACTAAAAGATACAAAAGGTTTAGGTTGAGGAAAATAAAGATAAAGACTCAACAATTGCTGTTAAAGTAAATAATCGCAGAATATAATATTGCTTAGAACAATTGTGCTTGATAGCGTACAAGAATCTAGAGAGATGGTACTGTAGTGTAATGATTTTTTCCGGGTCCTCCTTATGGGGTCTTCTCCCCTTTTATACATTCCGATTAAGGGTAAAAATAAGGTAGGTAAATTAATTACATCGTGGATCCCTGTAATTACGCCTTAATGGCCTGAAGTGGTTGAGAAAATCACGTTTGGGCGAGATATCCGGCGACGCTTGGTTATCCGTTACGAGTCCGGCTTCCGACCTTGTGTGTTTCTCCATCCGGTGGTGACTCATATCGAGCTCTGCAACGGTCTCGAAATGACTCGACCTCGGTTGTAGACGTGGCCGTCGTTCTACCTTGCATCCAGGTCGGATTCGATGGCCCCGACTTGCCCCGGACCGGACCCAACCCGGTCGGGCTCAAGCAAAAAAAGGTATCACCTAATACAGATAGTCCCCTCGTTTATTAGAGAGTAATGATAATAAACGATATGATCGGTGACGTGATGCCCGTGACGTATGGCCATACGCCAGGTGAAAAAGCCATCGAGTGCTCTGACCACGCCTGCTGCAGGCATTTAATGCTTCTCTTAATTATCTGTCGCTTCGTGTCTGTGACTTCGCGATTCGTGCCACCGCCTCATGGGAAAAGTATAAACGACCCTTCCAGGATCAACATTTCTTATCTTTCTCAAATTTTGCGTTGGTTGCATTTTCTTCTCATCTCTTCGTAAAGCTTTATGAAATGGCGAAAACTTCACAAAGTGTTCCTTCTAGACCAAGCTCGGCCGCGAGCCCCGCTAGATCTGATGAACCTGCACCTGAACCCCCATTGAAAGCTTTCACACCGACTGGTTGCTCGGTATCTGCCGACTTCCAGGTTGAAAACCCATCATCGGTCCCGGGCCGCGGCGAACCGGCATCGGAGTATATCAGCCTAATCACTCCCGGTTGCCTAGACCGGGTGAGGGCTGAATGTAGATGGGAAGGGAAAGACCTGGTCGCCCCTTCCCGTGACGAGTCGATTATGACTCACGTTGAAGGGTATCTTAGTGTATATACATATCCCTTCACCTTAGGCCCCTTAGAACCCATTATAGTGGAGTTCTGCCGGCGGTACGAGGTGACCTTAGGTCAGGTCCACCCCTCGATGTGGCGGATCGTATATCTCTTTCGGTTTTTTGTCGAGAGAGTCGAGGGCGATTTTCCCTTTACCCTCGACCATCTTCTTCGATTATACAGCCCTCGAATATTTCGAGGGGGATTAATAAAACTGGCCCGCCGGGCTAGCAAACCCCCATTCTCCAGCATCGATGAAGACAAAGATCGAGGCTGGATGAGCAGGTTTGTCCGGATCAGGACGTCCGACCTGATTCCGGCTGATTGCATGCCATTTCCGGAGAGGTGGAACCTCAAACGTAAGTATTTTCTCACTGTTCATCTTTTAGAGTGTGTTTTCCTCAACTTCTTCCTGAAACCCCCTTTTCTTGTGCAGCGGTGACCCAAACTCCAGCTGCCATCAAGGATCTGGCCGGCTGGGTAAACAAGATAGTGGCCCAGCGGCCATATTCGGAGCGAAACTGGAAGGAAATCTCCAAAGGTCGGTGGGAGGCGAAAAACCATGGTAAGCCTTCTTTTTGACCGGTAGCGCACCAAGTTAACGCATTTTTTCTTGTATATCGGGAATGCATCATAACCCTCGTGTTTTGCAGGCTTGCCCAAGGACGCGGAGATGAGGTCTTCAATACTATGCCCCCTTCCGGTTCCGGGAGAAAATAAAAGGCCCGGGGAGTCCGGTACGGACGAGCCCCAAAGGAAGATTAAGCGGACAAAAAGGGCCGCCCGCAAACTAAAAAGCCAAATCGTCTTGTCCTCCGAGGAGGAGGACGACAAAGAGGATGACGATGAGGAGCAGCCGGAGCTCGTCCGCCATCGATCCATTCGACCGGACCCTGAGCCGGTGGTCGATCCAGTTGAGGCTCCTCCCGAGGACGTGAGGGTTGAGGATGCTAGTGAACCCTCGGCCCCTGCGCGGGCGTCCCCGGGTACCGATCACCCGGTTACGTCCCCCCCGTCTTCCTCGACTTGGGGGCAGCTGCCGGACGACATCCCGATGATGGGAGGTAGCTTCGAGACCTTTTTTGATGGGGTACCCTCCGCCAACACTTTCGGGCTCGAAACCCCCCGGAAAGACCCTCAGGCCGAATCAAGTGGGACTTCGGCCGTCAACAAGCTTGTCGATAGGTTTCCAGCTCCGAGCCTGGACCCGGACTGTAACAGGATAGTAACTTTTGCTATCCCCAAAGACGTCCGGGCTCTGGGGCCCCCGGTCGGGGTTGCAAGCTATCTTCATCACCTGATGACGGAGGAAGACCGGGCTGCAACCGAGGCTGTAGATTGGACATGCCTTTTCAACGAAGCCCAACAGGCGCAGCTCAAGGTACTTGCTTCTTCCTTTATTTCTAATATTTTTGCCTTGTGATTCAGTACTGACTCTTTAGACTTTTTCTTTGCAGGCATCGGTGCTATATCACTCGATGTTCCTCCGGATCAAGGACAAAATGGAGACGGAGCGAGAGGGGCGCCGGGTCCTTGAAGAAAAGCTGCTAGAAAGCCGGACCGGATTGGACCTTTTGAACAAAGAGCACGCGTCCTGTGCTATCCGGCTGGAGGAAGCGAAGAAAGAGCTTGGTTGTAAGCTAAGGGGGGTGCAAGCCGAGCTTAATCGGGTTAAGGCCGAGCTTGACGAGAGCAGAGCCGAACTTGATGAGAACAAAGCCGAATCTGGAAGCCCGGGTGCAACAGTTGGAGTCGGAGAAGACTTCCCTTCGGGAAGAGGTTGCGGACTTGACGTTGGCCAATGAGGCTCGAGTCCTTGAAATCGAGCTATGGACCAATCGATTTCGGGAAGCTGAGGCTAAAGTTTCCCAAGCCGAGGAGACTGCCAACGATATGGTGGCCCAATATAGGGCCGATGCTGATGCGGCCAACCAGCAGTCAAGAATGTTAGCCGAATATGCGAAGTGTCAGGCCCGGCTTGAAGTTCTTACCGAACTCCAACGTCGCGGTTTCGATCTTGCATCGGACGTCGCCAAAGCCGCCGAAGCTGAGGACGCTTCGAGAAGGGCGACGTTCCCCGAAGAATTCGAGGATGGCTCCGATTGACTCCGGGAATAGGCTAGGCTTTGTTTTGTTTTCCCCTCTTATGTAATTGCTCCGGTAGCGAGCTTTTTTATGCAACACTGCCCTTTGCCATTTATTGCTCCTTTTTCAATCTTGTTATTACTTTGCCTTTTATCTTTTTGGAACGATGGTAGTCCTTTATATTTTTCGAAATAGTCTCCGAGTGAATGTATTCGAACTCAGGTGAACTTCGACCTTTGGGTTTTCTCAAGGCAGTCCCC